AGATACAGGCTGACTCGTCAGCCATTTTGAATCTAAGCTTTAGGGTTGCAATTTAGGTGTGGAGCGGCAACTTTGGCTCTTTAGCGCTGTCCGCTAAAATTTAACATTCTAGAGAATCCGAATTTCAGCTTTTTTCTGCACTCCTATAAAGATGTGTGGCTTTTTCCCCTTCTTTTGTCTGCAGTTACAGATTCTTTCTCGTATTTTTTTTTTTTTTTAAATTGCCAAATTTCTCGTATGATTCAAGTTATTTTAAAAGTTTCTAAAACATTTTCACATATCATATTTCAAATTTGTATTTTTTTAAAGTTAAAAATGCTTTCTTTTTGAATTCCTTTATTGAATTTTCAATTTTTTCTTTTAAATACACGCATAATGTTATTTATCTCAAAATGTATTTTTTGACAAGAGCTTTCCCTCAACCACATTCTTAATATGGTTGAGGGAAATCCCTCAACCTCCATTAATTTAGGATAAGGTTTAATTTAATCTTTAATTTTGTTTTTTATTTTTAATATGTTATTTGAATTTTGCTCACATGGAATCAAACGTCTATTACTGTAGCAAATTTGTTAAAAATGTTATTTTGTGTGTGTTTCCAGAAAAAGCTGCTAAACACTTTATGATTTTAAATACTGATTCAAGATATACACCTTTAAATTATAATGCTTTTAGAATGAAGTGCAGAATGCTATAAAAATTACTTCAATGCTCAGATGACTGTGGGATTCATAGATTTAATAGAGTAAAAAATTCCATTAAATATTTTTTTTTTCTTTATTTAGCTAAAAACAATATTAAAATAATACACACACAAATAAATAAAAAAAAATAATACCTTTACATACAGAATTTACAGATACTATTTACTTATAAGTTTATTTGTTGTTGATGGTTACTTTTTATTATACTTGGAAAAATTATACTTACATACATATGCTCTTAATATTACACGTATCTGAATATTTAAATGATAATTCCATAACATAATAAGATTCAATCTATATCACAGCAAAGACAATACTTAAATCACAGTTCTTTTTATTAATTAATTTGCATAAGTAAAAACATAAAAAATATTATTTAGCTTCAAATCTATAAAATAAGTCCTCTAGTAACAAACATATGACAAACACATATAGTGAAAATAAAGATAAATAAATAAAAATGTTTTGCTTTTTGGTCTAATGTAGTGCAATTCAGTCTATTATATTCAAATTTTATTAAAACATACTGCAGTAATTGAATTTTTTCCATTATACATCAAACAGCTTTATATAGAATGATATTATATTAGTTTTTACTTTTAAAACTAATATAATATTATAATTAATTCTCATTTATATGGCGGAGATGTTTGAATGAAATGCCAAACAAACCATGTCCCTGACACAGTTCATTTGGGGCTAGCAGAGAACCACGATATGGCTGCCCAAACCAGAACAGAACCCCCGCCATGTTTCACTCTTGGCAACAAACAGTCTGTATTATAGGCTTGAGATGGCGTTCTCCAGACGTAAACTCGGCTAGAAGTGGGAAACAATGTGAAAGAAGACTCGTCAGACCATATTACTCGCTTCCACTGCTCTATAGTCCAGGCTTTATGACTTAAAACACCACCTTTTCCTGTTACGGGCATTAGCGTCACTGATGAGTGGCTTCTCAATTGCAGCACGGCCAGCAATTCCCTGTTTATGAAGCTCCCTTCTAATTGTTTTGGTACTCACAGGGTTCGGTAACACAACATTCATTTCAGCAGTAACTTTTGCAGCTGTGGTCTTCTTATTTTTCGTCACAATTGCCCTTAATGATCGTCTGTCACGATCACTCAGGACACACTTTCGTCCGCCCTGTGATTTAGCAGATGATGTTTTTCCGCTTTTCAAATATGCGGAATAAATCTTCGATACAGTACCTCTTGAAACACTAAACACCTCGGCTACCTTGCTTACGGAAGCACCTACCATACGTGCTCCAACAATTTGCCCACGTTCGAAGTCTGTTAACTCTGACATAATGCAATGACAACCTCACATAACAGTACTCCGACAACAACTGAACTGTTTAGCACATTTACGAAGTTGTATAGGTGGCGTCAGTAGTCAAAAAAACGCCAGCGCCACCTACATTTCATTAAAATCAATCTTTCTTTTCAAACATGCATTTCACAAGGTGTTTCCATATTTTTGTCCATCCACTGTATCTCATTGATATATTATAAATATAGCTTAAACATGTTTTATGTGCATACCCAAAGGGGGTGGGAAGTAAGCCTTGATTCAAAATCTGTTTTAAAGCAATAAGTAAATAAATAAAATACACTGGTTCTATTAGAATGTCAAAAAATACTGTTATGTATTCTATAAACAAATCCAAATTATCACATCATACTATATAACCCTGGTACAAAAGAAGAAATGTCTGATTAGGAACATACTCTATTTATTTGGTAAAAAAGAAGAGTAAAACATATGCAACATCCCATTATGAAAAATCCTGCAAGCCATTACAATACTATAAGACATTGATTAGTAAGGTAAACATCAGTTGATCATTCTTTCACAACAGCAATAAATGTTTCATTTAAAATTCCTAATAACATGCCAAAACAGATTCACAATTGATGCCTCATTTAAGGTCACACAAAAGTAAATCCGATTTAGCTGACTATGAGATCTTCTATTGTAGAGGACTTTCTAAGGAGAACTGGCTTGTATTCACATTACACATGGGGAAAAAAACCACAAAAAAAAAAAAACCAACCATGCAGCCAGCCTGTTCGGAAATAGAACAGAAGATGGAACTCCCAGCATTCAGTAACTTTAACCATTCAGCTGTTGGTGGGCCTAATTATTATTCGAAGAGACAAACAGCAATTTTTCAGTGACAACTACTCTACTTTTTTACAGACAGAACTGAACAGCAAAAACTTCTTAAACTCTTGATTAGATTCTAGTTTACTTTCTTCCTTTTAAAAGCAGGAGATGCAAAACTTTGCCGCTGCTGCCTTTTATTTTGAAGAAGCTTCTTGAGACCAATTCCACGGGCAGTCAAATAATATTTTATTATCTTTGTTTTGATATTGCAACAGGAGGGAATATTTACCTCGCCTGCTTTCTTACAAATCATATTAACAAATTCCACATCCATAGTTACATTTCCATGTATTATTTCGTCTCGAAAATTTTGAATTATTTTTTCACACAGAAGGCACAATTTAAAAATTTCTGGAGAAGGACATTTAAGCCCACCTAAATTTGCAAAATTAATTATGTACTGCTTATTTTCATCAATGGAAGGAGTATTTTGCTCACAAACTAAGAGAAACTGTGAGCATGAATTACAAGCATTTTTCAAAACAGAATTTATTGCAGCTCCTGCAATATAACAGACGTTATTTTCCTCACTAAGGGTGAGATTCTGTAGAGATACATCAGAAACTTCTGGTATGGTAACAGGCTCTAAAGCTTTTTTCTCCTTCAGAAATTCAAATTCATCTTTCGCATAGTTTAATAAGTAAATATCTGAATCAGTAGCATAACTGGAGTTCTTAATGTCAGATATAAACTGAGATAAACAGATAAGCTTTAATGCTTTCACAGCTTGCAAAGCACTTGGCCTCAAACCAGCTTTTCTGCGTATCTGAGAAAATACATTTTCTAGAGCATCTTGTGTCAATCTGCTCGTCAAAATAAACTGAAAATCATTCAGAAAACATGCCTCTGCTAACTGTATGGCTGATAAAGTAGAAAGAATCAAACCAGTATGTAATGGTTTCCACCCTTTACCAATTTCTATAAGCTGTATAACATTAATAAATTCAAAAAGTAACTCAATTTTTTTGCTTTTATTTGTCACAGAAATTGAGTTCTTTCTACATCTAGAGGATAGCATTTGAAACCACTGACATATAAATCTTATCCACCATGCTGTTGTAAGAGCATTAGGGCTTATCTCTTTTAAAGCTACTGCCTTCTCCAATCCCACAGCTGTTTTAATTGGAAAAAACCTCACAGCAGAAGCAACATTCATTTTATCAAAATGTGAGGGGAAGAGGTCTTCTTTGCTGAGATGATGCATAGTTCTCAAACCACAATTTTGGTTTGTTTCAGTAATCCAGATATCTTTTATAAATCCTGCAGATACATGCAAAGTAACCAAATTTTCTTTATTGCAAACATAACTGGGCAGTTTTATACTATGATTAAGAGTTGCAGACCAGAGATTTTTTAAAAGATGTGGCACATCTGCAAATACATAAATAATTTTGCCCTTAATTTCAGTAGTGAAATTATTTCTTTGGTTTCGAGAAACAGATATTCCCAAAGAATTCCACAGGCTTCTATTTACTGCTGCCATATCGCTAACAATACCAACAACATTAAATCCAACAGAATTGACAGCTTCGATAACATTGACAACAAGTTGTTTGAGCTGGCATCCTGTTACCTGTCCAGTTATCTCATGGGCAACCACTTGCTTCCATTTCAGCTTCAAACCTCTTAGTAAAATAACTAAATAGTGATTTCCTGCACCCTTTTGATTTCCTAATGTACATTTACCAATAAATTTACGTTTTGAAATATCAAAATCAGGATTGCCAGAAATCTCCATTTCATCCAATGATAAAATACAGTCTTTATCACTAGCATTCATTTTTTCTCCTTTAATTTTCAAAGGTTCAATCATGTCACTGATGACTCCAAAATTCATTTCAAGACCTTGAAGTCTTTTATTTAAAGTGCTGTATGAAGGCACAGGAAAACCTATTCTGTGCAAGTAATTATAACCATGCTTGCCCAAGGCAAATCTAACTTTGAGGCCTTTTATTATTCCCTCGTTAGACCATTTTGCAATGCTTCTACGAGGAATTTTCAACATTGCTATTTGTTCATCTGAAAGAAATGTTTTCACTCCTTTCAGCAATTCCTCATGCTGTACTTGAAGGTCATGAAGTTGAATTTCAGTGCTATGCCATTTTTTTAAAACATTAATTTCATTTTTTTTTTTTTTTGGTTGCTGTAAGTTCTTTCAGTAATATTTTGTTCTGGCATTGCAGAAGCGAGATCAATTCAGTCTGCTGTTTTATAAAATTCCTTAAAAGAACATCCTGGAATAAAGAAAAAATCTATATGAATAATCATCAAAGAAGGGGGGGGAACACAACAAACAAACAAAAAAGATCTGAAAGGTTTCAGATTTTAAATTACACCCAAAGGGGCCTTTTTTTAACATTTTGTGTTTTACCTTTATTTATTAAATATCAAGTTTTTCACACTTAAACTATAAAATTCAGTTCAACAGCAATATTGCAAGATAATTTTAAAATGAACATATCTTCAGAATTCCCGATTCATTGTCTCACACGCTGGAGATAAAAGTGTCTTTTCTGTACAACATTGCCATTGCTCGCTTTGAAATCCTCAAGTTTGTTAATCAAAAATTCGTTAAAGTTTTACAACATATAAAATATATATTAAAACAAATTCCGAATTTCAAATTCGGTCTTCCAGATGTCCATATTCACAGTAGAATTAAGTCATTCAAAATTTGATGGCTCTAGGTACCGTTGTTTTATCAGAATGCAAAAAACATACATGCATTTATGCAGATTCTTCACTATATAATTTCTTTAAATATAGTACAGGGTGATAATATTTGGTGGCAACAATTTGAAAAGTGATGCAGCCGTTTATAGTGTTTCAATACAAAACGAAAACAATAGTCCTTCAGGGACAAAGCCCCTTTGGATTAAATGTCAAACTTAAACAGATAATAAATCCACAAAATAAAAATGCAAGTTCCAGGTCTCTTTTCCTATACTGTGGTGGGTTTTTAAATTTGACTCTATTGTTTTCAGCATTTTCTAGATTATTTTTGTTTTATTTTCTAATATTTAAAATTTATTTCACTTAAAAATAGATTTTTAAAATTTATTTCCAGCTTTTCAAGGGATCGATTATCTCCATAATCATGAGCAATTTAATAACACAAATTATCAACTTATATCACAGCCTTCACAAATGCTGATGAAATTAATTAAAATTAATTACAATTTGGTTGCAAGATGAATCTAAAGGTTGTTTTTGCAAACAAAACTGAAATTTACATAGAGAATTTGCAACTATTGATGAAATTAATTACATTCCTTTTACCAAAAAAATTACTTTATAGAACATTTTAAATGCATATAAGGAAGCAATTTAATTATACATTAGTTATCAACTTACATCAGAGCCTTCACAAATAGATGGTATTTCATTGCAAAATGAGGCTAAAGGCTGTTCTTGCAAACAAACCTGAAATGTACACAAAGAATTTGTAAATGCTGATGAAATTAATTACATTCCTTTTACCCCCCCCCCCAAAAAAAAAAAGTTAATAGAAACATTTTGTATAAGCAAGCAATTTAATAATACACTAATTATCTACTTACATGAGATCCTTCACAAATAGATGGCATTTTATCACAAGATGAAGTTGAAGCTTGTTCTTGCAAACAAACCTGAAATATATATATAAGAAATTTAGAAATACAGATAATATAAACTACATTCATTTTAAGAAATAATTATTTTACATAACATTTTATAATTCATAAATAGATAATAAATTGTTAACACTCAAAATTCAAAAATAATTCCATAGCACAACAGCCAGATATAGTACAGCTGTTTAGCAACCATAAGACAAACAATTTCATATTTCAGAAATCGTATAAAAATTCATTAATATATGTAAAACATATGACATTTAATAGCTGCTCAAATGAAAACATAGAATAGATTCTTTACTAGCAGCTGTTATTTAATCAGAAGGTAATGCTAAATGTTGTTGCAAACACACCTGAGATGTACTGTAATGTACACATTTGCAACCACTGGTGAAATGAAATAAAGTGCATGATTATGAAGATGGAAACATTTAAAAAAAACATAGTACAGTTTACGAATAGATGTTAAAAAACTATTAAAATTTTTTAGAAGTGCAAAATGGCAATTTACATCAGATACTTCGGCAGCAAAATTTATTTCTCCAAAATATGAAGCTGAAGGTTGTGGCAAATGAACCTAAAAGAAATTATAATATATGAAATATGTGGAAGTGAAAGAAATTATAAACTCTGATCGGATAAAAATAAATACAAATAATCATTACCATTTTCAAAGTAACTCAACTTATAAAAAAGCATAAATACATTGGACTGTTCATAGCATTCATACTTCTTAAACATAAGTAAATATTACGTTAATATATTTTTTAAATTTTAGAAACAGTGTTAATACTTTTTAGAAAAAGTTTATAATACTAAATATTTAATAACTGTTCAAATGAAGACTTACAACAGATGGTTCAGCAACAGAAATCGCTTCAGTTGATAAAGGTAAACTGTGCAGCAAGCCACCCTGAAGATGCAAAAATTATGAAACACATATAAGTAAGGATACCTGAAAATGCTGATAAATAAAATATACTTAATGTAATTTTAATAATAAATAATATAAATAATCCTAATAAGTTTTGTAAATCTTTAAACAAAAAATAACAACATTCAGACAAGACATATAAGACATTAAAATATACATTTAAATCAATGTATTATAACTATATTATTGTATTACTCAAGATTAAAGTTATTAATTTCAATATTATTTCTTTTACTTACTCCATACATATTTCTCTCTATTTATCTGGAATTTAAAATTAAGCAAAAAAGCAACTTTAGTTTAATACAAATTTTGATTTAAACTCTTTTGACTTTGAAGGCAATCAGATACCGGTTTCTTTCTTTTAGGAGCAAATTTGAAGAAACCAGACCCATGTATGACCGTCCTCGAAAAACTACAAAAACTTTATCCAAAAACTACATCAAATTGAGGTTTTATGCTTAATTTTCAATATATGATTATAATAACAAAGTACATACTTAATTATATATATAACAACAGCAAAATTTTAATTTTTTAATCTAATCTTAGGGACTGTAATTACAGCTTTATCACATAATGCCTTAATTTCAATATTTTGATTCTTTTATAAAGCAATTTAGTCCATTTGTAATAAAAAACATATTTTTTTATGAAAAACCATAAAAATAAAAAAACACATACATTACAAAAATTGGATGTAACTGAACGGTGCTTTGGTAAACCAATGCCTTTTAGACGCTGTGGGGTCAACAGTTGTGGGGGATTAGGCACATTGAAAAGAGTTGGCACAGCATTGGGCTTGAGTTTTTTACGCCCATCTTGCCTAGAGCATTCAAATTGATTTTCTTCAAAATGTACCTGCATATTTAACAAAAGCATGCATGAAATTTAACATTAAAATCAAAAGCACTAGTATTTAAATTACAGTTACATATATTATAATAATTTAAGAATGTAATTTTCTGATAAATTTAAATTTTTTTTATGAAAATAGAACAAAATTTTTAAAAAGTAATCATGTTTGTAAAACTACTTAAAACATATTTCCTGCTCACACACTAAAAATAAATTTAAAGTACCTATAGTTAAAAATACAACATTAAGATTTACTACTACAATAAAGGATAATAATGGGATCAAAACGATTCATCGAATATTTAAATTAATATTTAACTTCTTAAAAATGTCTAAAAATACAGAAATATATTTATCTATAAAGAAAAAACAAAATCATTTATTATTTGGATCATACCATCCAGTTTTTAACATTGGCGCCAACTATCCGATTTGGCGACAATACATCAGAATCAAAACATAGAATGCTACTTTAAATCACCAATCGTACAGTAAAATTAAAGAAAAGAAAAAGGCACATCACATTTCTAACTGAGCACAAAGTTTACATGAAATGTATGATATACAAATTTTACAAACGGTATAAACTTTTCACGATAACAAAAGAAACAACATGAAACAACGATATTTTACTGCACAAACACATACACATTCCGCAGTTGATTTTGTACTTATAAAATCAGTTGATCGTCAATAAGTGACAGTTAAATGAAAATAAATATTTTAAAGTACCAAGAAGAGTAATTTTTCTAACATTCTATGGAAAAATACGAAGCTGAACTTACCTCACAAAGATACGCTCCTGGGCCCGGGATCCATTGATCTCGACGAGAATTAACTATCCATTTTCTTCGTCTTTCTTCATTTCTAGGGAAACGAAACATCCTAAAGTTATTTTTAGACTGATTCGAACAATTTGGTGCAGCACAACCACCCATTTTTCTGAAAATTAGGTCGGAATCGATCCACAAATATGTCAAGAAATCAGTGCTAATCCAATAGCGAATACCAACAAGTTAGCTTCAAAATGGATGATGATTCAGCTCCCCTTTATAGTAGCCTAGCCGCAAGCTTTCGTTCCCATTTCCGCGTCATTTCCTGTTTAAAGTTTTCCGAAATCGATTTATTCCGTTTGCTCTTGCTCCTAATGGATTTTGTACCTGGGGGTCTGCTCTCAACTTTAGCAATAAACGGAGCGTTCAGATAAGTAGAAACTTCTTTTCTCTAAGCTAAATCAAATATCTGTCACTAAAGTACCTTTAAATTCATTCATTTATTATGATCATTATTATTATTATGCTCATTTTATTATGTTTTGGCCTAAATACTTAGTAATTGCTTTAAATCATGTGGTTCTTTTTTGGTTACTATCTCGTAGGGACGCTATCCTTATCAGTAGTAGCCCTTATCAGTAGTGTTAGCCCTACCCTTGGGGCCCCTTTGAGGAATGTCTCGAGAGCTAAAAACACGATCTCGGGCCTCAATGAAATGTACAGAGTTGTAGTTTTTGCTCCTTTAATCTATATTTCCTATCTATTTAAATTAAAAGCATATATTATACAGTGTGCCTCAAATTGATAAAATAGTGCACATATAATAATTATGACCATTAACTTAATAAATAAATAAAATGCTTATTTTTTTTAACAAAAATTAATTAATAATAATAATAAAAAAAACTCCGTAATTTATTTACTTACTTATTTTTGCTGATATGTTCTCGCCTTGTTTTGGATTTATGATTTTATCTGATGGTGTTTTCTGAATATATAAATATGTTGGAAACCGCAATAGATGATGTTACTTAGTTTAATGTAAACTTTGCATGATATATATGTATCTTGATCTTATGTGTCTTCTGTTACTGTGTCTCAAGGTAGAGGCTAATATTGGTTTCCATGTAAAAAAATAAAAGTTTAAATTTAAAAAAATTTAAATTTTAGTTTCCCTGTTATAGCAAAGATAGCTTCTAAACCTGACTTATACTGTTATGTGGACTGGACCCCCAAAATTTATTATTTTATTATTAATTTTCCCCATCTTTACCTCTATTCAGCTTTACAAAACACACTCATTACACACACCTGGAAGACTGTATTTAATGTAAATGATAACAACTTTGACTACACTCATGAACACAATTGTGGTTTTTTTTTTTTTTTTTTTTTTTTTTTTAAACAAAAAATTCTCTTACTTCCTTTCCTTTTCTTTCTATAGGCCCTTTTTTTTTTTTAATTATAAATAATTTTTTTTCCCTCTCCATTACTTTTGGGCCATTTATTTTTTTACTTTATTTTGTCCCATTTTTCTTCCTGGCTTTTGGAACTCGTACAAAATGTACGAAGTTTCCTTTTTACTCTCCTCTGAAATATGAAATTGCCCCCCCCCTTTCGATATACTTTTTCTTCTCACCTATGCTTGACTTTTTCGCTCATCGGTAGCACAAAAAGACTTAGCGGGTGCAACAAAAGACATCTGTCTACTTTGTCTGTCAGTCTGTCTGTCATTCGTATTCGCATAGAAACCGCATCATTCGTACTCGAACAAACCGCATCGTACGACAGATGCGAGTAACGAACAGATGCGAATAACGAAATGAATTTGTGAGTACCGAATCGGTACTTCGAGTCAACCGATGTACCCGTTACTCAGTAACGAATACATGCGGTTTGCTCCAGCTCTACTACCAACAAGGAAAAGCATCTCCAAAGCTTCTGCAAAGCGTCTCCTATTTCGCCTGTAGGCCGTGGATATTTCCTGGCAACATTGTGGTTGTTTTTAAAATCCTTTAATCTCTTTCATATGTAATTTGAAGTAGTCAATGGAAAAACTAAGCTTTAACAGTGCTAGGGTGAGAAAGCATGTTAATGCGAAATATAAACAAACTTATTTGTCATGAAATGTGTTCCTGTGTTCCCGTTTCAAACTTCATATACTTATTCACCAAAGGGAGAAACTTCATGTATGCCGTGTGTAACAAGTCATTTACACTGAAGAGTTATTCAAACAATCATATAAATATTGACACAGGAAAGAAACCTTGTGTGTGAGGCATTTAGCAAGTTATTTAGACAGTATGCTTCTTTAGATAAACATCTGCATATACATACAGGAGAAAAAACTTGTTTGTAAGGTATATCAGAAAAAATTTGGATGGGAGCACATTTAAAACGTTTATTCATGCACAAAAGAAACTTGACGTATGTGAAGTATGTAACAAGACACTTACTCAAAGAGATCATTTAAACACACATATATTTAATCACACAAGAGAAATTCCTCATGAGTGAGATATGTAATGTGCCATTTGTTCACAAAGGTAGTTTAAACAACCATGTACTTATTCATAAAGGGAGTAAACCTTATGGATGTGAGATAATGTAATAAATCATTTACTCAAAAAAAGTAATTTAAAAAGCAGTATGCTTATTCACACAGGAGAGAAACCTCATGCGTGTGAGGTATGTAATAAGTCATTCACTCAAAAAGGTCATTTAAAGGAACATATACTTATTCACACAGGAAAGAAACCTCATGTGTGTCTGATATGTAATAAGTCATTTACTAAGAAAAGTCATTTAATAAGACATATACATCCTGTGCATATTTACACAGGAGAGAAACCTCATATGTGTGAGATATGTAATAAGTTATTTAGGTGCAAGGATAACTTAAAAATACATATGCTTATTCACACAGGAAACAAGCCTTATATCTGTGCAGTATGTAACAAGTCATTTACTCTAAAAGGGAATTTAAAAACGCATATGCTTATTCATAAAGAGAAGAAACCTCATGTTTGTGAGGTATGTAATAATTCATTTACTCTAAAAGTTCAATTAAATAAACATCTGCTTATTCACACAGGAGAGAAACCTCATGTGTGTGATGTATGTAATAAGTCATTTAGACGCAAGGATCTTTTAAGAATCCATATGTTTGTTCACACAGGAAAGAAATCTTTTCTCTGTGAGATATGTAACAAGGCATATACTCAAAAAAGAGCTTTAAAATACCATATGCTTATTCACACGGGAGAGAAACCTCATGTGTGTGAGGTATGTAACAAGTCATTTGTTGGAAAGAGTAATTTAAAAAGCCACATGCTTAGTCATACAGGAGAGAAACCTCATTTGTGTGAAATATGCAATAAGTCATATGTGTGCAAGGAACATTTAAAAAGACATATGTTTGTTCACACAGGAAAGAAATCTTTCCTTACTCAAAAATGTAATTTAGAAGAGCATGTACTTTTCCACAAAGAAAAGAAAACTCACATGTGTGAGGTATGTAAGAAGTCATTTACTCAAAAAGGTAATTTAAGAAGACACACACATATTCACACAGGAGAGAAACCTCATGTTTGTGAAGTATGGAATAATTCATTCACTGAAAAAAGTCATTTAAAAGATCATATGCTTATTCACACAGGAGAAAAACCTCATGTGTGTGAGGTATGTAACAAGTCATTTAGTCGAAAAGATACTTTAAAGAGACATGTATTTATTCACACAGGAAAGAAACCTCATGTGTGTAATTTATGTAACAAGTCATTTGTTCATAAGTGCCATTTGAATGACCATATGCTTAATCATCACAGAAAGAAACCTCATGTGTGAGAGATTTGTAATAAGTCATTTAGCTGCAAGAATCATTTAAAAAGCCATATGTTTATTCATACAGGAAAGAAATCTTACCTCTGTGAGGTATGTAACAAGTCATTTAGTCAGGAGTATAATTTAAAAAAGCATATGCTTACTCACAATGGAAAAAAATTGTGTGAGTTGCGTATGTAACAAATCACTTGGATGATTGAAAGATGCATGTCTACAGATAATACAAGGCTAGTGTCTTTTGTTAAAAAGTTAGATTAATAAGAACTTTTACTTATGTATGCTGTAAAGAAATGGTATTGCATGAGGTGTGTTTGACTTGTCATTTGATCTTATTTCTCAAATCATGTATTTGTTTGCACAATAAAAAACCTCATTCTTTATGAGATGAGAAAATTCTAAACAATATCTTCTTATCTGTAGTATTTAATGAGTAATGAAAGGTTTAAAACATCATATTTGTGGAATAAATAGTTAGAGACTGATTAACTTATTTTGAATTAAGAAATTTTATGGATATTTCATGGTACTTTTCCGTTTCCCTGGCGCAAATCTCGCCAAGCACATTTTATTGGCGACAACTTGTCATTTGATGACTTGTCATTTGATCTTATTTCTCAAATCATGTATTTGTTTTCACAATAAAAAACCTCATTCTTTATGAGATGAGAAAATTCTAAACAATATCTTCTTATCTGTAGTATTTAATGAGTAATGAAAGGTTTAAAACATCATATTTGTGGAATGAATAGTTAGAGACTGATTAACTTATTTTGAATTAAGAAATTTTATGGATATTTCATGGTACTTTTCCGTTTCCCTGGCGCAAATCTCGCCAAGCACATTTTATTGGCGACAGCATACATTATACACATAAGAAATGTTTAACAAATGTTAGTTCTAAGAATTTTTAATTTTGAAGGGATAAACATTTTAATATCATTAAAAATTTTGTAAAACGCCAATAAATTTGTAAAAAGACATTAATTTAAGAATTTAGTATGCTTTTATGGTTCAACATCCTGATTCACCTTTTCATATTATGTGACCCCAAGTGATGTCATCTTACGTAAATTACACTACAGAAATCTAATTCGATCAGTAATTATCTACATTAATTTCAAGTTCAATCTTAATTTGGAATACAAGTTTAAATGCAAGAATTATTTCAGTTCGTAGGATTAGTTTACTCAGAAATTTTTTAAGACCGCAGTGCTTTACTTCGGTAGTACATTTTCATTAGAATTGATAAATTTAACCCGTGACTTTGCCTTTTCTATATTTTCGCCTTCAGGTGAGCGGTGTGATTGCATCCTAATTGACTAATTACCACGAATGGCCTTAGGGCATAAAATTAAATTATCTGGTAAAAATTGTATGTAATTGTATACCAGTATTGAAAGAAACAATCAATCTGATAAGAAATGGCTGCAAATTGTTTTGAAAATGAGGCATAAAAGGTTACCAGCGAGGATATTACGTTCGGCATCAGTTGTACCATTATTGGCGACTTAAACACCTGTGCTGACAAAACAGAAAATTACTTATCCCATTCGTCCCATCCAGGTAATGTCATGTGAATTGTTTGAAAGCTTAAAGTGTTGAACATTTTCTTTTGAATGGAAATTTTATTCGCATTTTTGCACTCCTATCCAGTATTCACTGCATTTTTGTAAAAAGTTGGGAACATGAAATATACTCTCTTTTGTGGTATTTTTAGTACTGAAGGATTTATGTATTTCTCTCTTCCTCATTCGCATTTGTTACTACCTTTTTAATGTTGAGAATGCACTTTTTCAAAACCTGTGCTTTCATTATCCTACATTTAAAACATTCATTTTGGACTATATTTTTGATGCCACTATGCAGTTTGTAGCATCTTTTAATTAAATTGAAATTTCTTAAGGAAGTAAGGTGTCTTTTTTTTTTTTTTTTTTTTTTTGGTACTTAATGTTTTAATGCTACCACTTTAAAATAGAAGTTACCATATTTTCATTATATTGAAATCTGGTAACTATTCACGTAACCATTCATCCAGCAAAAACAATCCTTTAAAACATGCTCAAAACAATCCTTCGATAAAGCAACGATACCATTTTGTTAGCATATTTTTTTCTTATATTCCAAAGTCCAACAGTTTCTATAAACAAATTGGGATATTTTTTGCCTAAACTTAGTTTTAAACTATGCTCTTTGGAATTTCCACCCAGTGAACTGCAAGAAGACAGAATTTTGCTGAAAATGTTCTGAATAGATCAGCGAGGAAATGCTTTTCCTTAATAGCCAAGTGCTGCATGAATCTAATTCACAGCGACTGCAATTCTCTTGTTCTTTTAGTTCAAACATATTAGTGTGTACTTGAGGAGAAGAAAAATGCAAAATATTTACAGAAAGGGTTGGTGCCTAGCAGAGCCCACACCCTTGGCGCGCCCACTTATATGGTGTGTATCGGGCAAAGGAGTGGCATTGCCCGATACACACCATATAAGTCAAGACAGTGGCAGGACAAAGTCAAGGGAGTGTGCAATGCCAAGTTTGTGCAATTCTGGGATTATTTTTTTAAGTGAAAATAGGTCAATGTGTACATGGATACCGAGTTTGTGCAATTTTTTGACTTGTTATTTTCAAGTTGGCAACTTTGAGAAACAGCCGGAGCAGTGGGTGATTCTTCACTTTCCCAGTTTGTCGCCAAGGGTGTGGGCTCTCCTAGGATTTTACTACAGAAAAATTTGAAGAATGTGTTTTATTTTTTTAATGCATCGCTTAATCCTTATTTAATAATTCAAATTTATATTTTCAAGGATATGGATAATGTTACCAACCTACTATAAATATCAACAGTTTCCGAATCTTTTTAAATTAAAGGTGCGAAAAACACCATCTTGTACTTGATAAGTAACTTAGCTTTGTATCTTTAAAAAATAAAAAAATTATCCTAAGGTCATTGCCTTAATATATAACTACCTTTTTCTTGCTCATGGGTCCATGCAAATGCTTCAAATACATTTATATACTTATAGGTTCCTGTTCATTGTCTATTATCAAGGGCTTATCTTCCATAAGTTCAGCAAGTTGACGCCAAACTATATTGGCCTTCAAAATTTGACAAACTTTTTGGCGGCAGTGAGAGCACTGAGATGCGATTTTTAAATGTAAACAGAATAAAATAGTAACTTTTAAGTTTTGCAGTGAAACGTCATTATTTAATGTAAACAGAATAGTAAATATGAGATGGGTAAGCCATCAGCTTAGCAAGTAAAAACTTAGTCCTATCTATATAATTCATAATAAATTGTTTCAAATTCACTAACAACCGGATGCATCATAAACTGACTAAAATATATAAGTTACTATCGTCGTAAAATTCAAGACACTAAACAGCTTTCGTTCAAAACCTTAAACTTTCTACATCTTTCGATTGCCATATGCAGTAAACAAAACTTAAAAAAAAAATAATAATAATTAACTGACCTGGGAAACATTAACTAAATAAAATTAAGTGAAAATATTCATAAGTTATAAACTTAACGTCATCTGAAATGCAACATTCTCTCACTAATAACAGGGACAGGGAAAAGTGAACGGAGCACCAGAATTCGTCGGTGACTTTTACAGGTATTGCTCCACCGCATTACTGTACCTGCTGGGCGTTCAGTTGGCCCACATCGGTAGCCAGCCTAATAAGACACTTACAGAGGAACTTTACATTAAATTACAAAAACACAGTAGACAATTATTACAGTGAAATTAATCAATTAAGGAAAGTTGGATTATGACAGATTAATATAAGATAATTACTTCGAACATACATTAGTATGTCATACAAACAATACATTTACATAAGTATGTCTAATTACATTAAACATTTTTTAAGGAACTAATTATTGTAGAATATTTTGTTCATCTTCCAGTGCATTGGCATCAAAGAAACTCTAGGGGAAAAGAAGGCAAGCTCTCGTAGACACAATGTAAACCAGTTGGCTCGCCCTCAGGCAAATTTCGAATCCAAGTCAGTATGCGGTGAAGCAAACACGCAGGGTGTAGTCGAGGCGGAAAATCGATCTTACTTTAAACGCTCGTGAAGCAGAAAGCGTAAATCTTTTATTTGATAATTAGCTTTTACTATTTTTTTTTTTTTTGAAAATTTTGCTTTGCAGTATATGATTTTTTTATTTTACATCCACTTTTTTCGTTTCATAATTATTCATATTAATACTTAAATATTTCATAAATGGTTACTATTAGTTTAATACTTCGTTTAATTACGGCTTTAAAATATGATTTAATTTTAAATGCCATGTAGTACGTATGTACGCAATTTAATAAATGTAACGTTTGTTATTGCACATGACAGAATTACTGAGATATGGCAAAGCACACAAAGGCTATATATTTAATAGTCTGAAATACATATCAACCGTTAGCAATTTTAAAATAAATAAATAAATGATGCACTCTTCAATACAATTTTATTAAAGATTTTTGCTTATTCAGCTTGAAAGAAATAAAGACAACACATATAAATTAAGATATTAAAAAATTTATTTACACAAAATTTCATACTAAGATACACACAATTATCAAATCACTATGACATAATATATAACAAGCAAATGTATGATTTTTCATACAATCGCTGATAAAATCTTTTTCCCTCTTTTGTTTCAAATAAGTTTTCTCTGAGCTAACTTTTAAAGATATATCAATTAACACAGTATAACAATAATTAGATGACATTATTTTCGTGTTTTTTAAGAATAATACATTTTAAAATTTTATTGTAATTTATGTGTTTTTATTAGAAATTCTTTTTTCTACTATTTAAACAAAAAATTTGGTAAAATATTCATAAATTTTTGTTTTAGAGATATATAAAATTTTAGATTTATCATACAGAAAAAATAGCAAAGACAAAAAAAGGAGAGAAACCATTAAAGCTATGCTAAGAATGTATACTAACATACATTCTTAGCATAGCTTTAATGGCAGAAACTACAACAATAATATATCTTTTAGAAATCAAATTATTCTGAAATTTAAATACTTAGATCTCACACAGGTCATATTTCTGTAAATTAGTAATTTTCATAAAATAATAAACTCTGTAATACCCAATGTTTAGGAGCACATATTAGAGATTAAGAGATAATAGTTAAAAAATAACTTCTATATAATAACAAACAATCTATGTTAGTTCTTTAAGAAACATTCAATATCTGACTGAAAATTTTAGATTCAGTCAATATTGTTTTGGAAACAATCTGAATTTGTCACTTATGGCTACTAAAAACAGTTTTGAGAGAATGTGAAAATTTTGGGATTATTTTCCATATTAAATTCATTGTTTGCTTTCCCCCCAAAAAAGGAGGGGGTGGCAAATTTGAAAAGAAAATATATTTTACAAAAAGAAAAGCAAACTAAATCATTCTATACCAATGATAATAATGCATGATGTTAAAGCACCATTATTCAATGCTTACAGCAATGCTGCAAATTTTCATAAAAATGTCAATAAATATATCTTTTAACGTGCTGAATGCAGGAATCTTAAAACTGCACATTTGTAAGAGTATGAGAAAAATCATCAACTGAGGGGTCTGAGCAGTATAATGCATTTCCATTCATCAAATCACAAATAAAAGCATCTACATGGAAAACAATATCTTAATATATTATCCATA